GATCTCCCTAAATGCATGGATCTTGGATTATCTTGCTAATCTTGATGCTTCTTGGAGTCTTTCTTGATAATCTTGGAAGAGTCTTGCATTATCTTGCTAATCTTGGAAGAGTTTTACTAATCCCGGATTCTTGGATCCCTTGCTTATCTTGAATTCTTGGATCTTAGTTAACTTATCCTCATTCTAGGAGCTGCCGCCCCTAGGGATGAGATGGGCCTTGTGATGGGCCTCCATCAGTTTGGGGATATGGCAATCTCCTGTTTTGTAGCCCCATGGAGCCAAAAAAAAAATTGTGTCAAGAAAAAACAATTGTTTTCTTTTAAGGGGTTGACTTTGATACCCGAAAGACATGACAATAGAAAAGCTTATAACTAGGTGGTATTTATCAAAATTCATGGGAGGTTTTGATCGGTCAAAGTTCTTTCATTATTACACCTTTCCGGCTTCTTAGATTTATCCTTCTTTCAAAGAACAAAATTGTTTTGTTGCCGACTATGTTACTTTGTTTTTGGGTTCCACATGTTATCAGAAAGACATGATACCGGAAGAACTTACAACCAATCCATGTGATATTTATCAAAATTCACAAGAGGTTTTGATTGGTCAAAACTCTTCCATTATCACACCTTTCCGGCATCTTAGATTTACCCTTCTTTCAAAGAACAAAATCATTTTGTTGCCCATTATGTAACTTTGTTTTCTTGGGTTCCGCATGATATCAGAAAGACATGATACCAGAAGAAGTTACAACCAATCATGTGGTATTTATCAAAGTTGATAGGGGTTTTGGTTGGTCAGAGCCCCTCCAGTATTATGTCTTTCGGGCAGCATAGATTTTCTGTTGTTTTTAAAAACAACTGCGACAACAAAAATCATATAGTTTTGCTGAACAGCCCTAGTCGTTTTTTTTTTTTTTTTACAAAACAAAATCATACATGTTTTTGAACACCCTCTAACATGAGTGTTTCTGTTTTTCCTGTTTCTAAGAAATGCCAAATTAGCAAATAATTAGATTAGATGGGTGTTAATGTGTATTTTTATTTTCAAAACAAAGTGAAAATATTTTCGGTTTGAATAGAAAAATAACTTTCTCCATCTATAGCATTTATTAAAATAAAGTGATTTATTATGAATTGAAAGGGTTAAAAGAGCTAGGACCTAGGAATAGACCAAATAGGATGTAGGTTGAAGTAATTAGAAATGATTTAAGCGCACATAATTTAACACTAAATATGACACAAAACAGAACATAATAAAGACTTAGTTGGTGATGATTAAAAGATAATTGTCTCTAAAACCAATAAAAGGTTGCATTTGAAAACAATTATGGTCATGTTTGGTGTATATGCACACAGACCAAATATCCTATAAACTCTCTAACAACTAAGGTTTTTAAAATTGAACCGGAGAACAAACAGGTAAAGGGTCTGATTTTTGGGTCGAACGGTTCGGCCGTTCGAACCAAATGGATAGCTTGTTCTAACAAAAAAAATAAATAAAAAATGTCTAAACCATTGGATGGTTCAACTGCCCAGGTCAGCAGTTTACTGCCCAAATCAACGGTTTTTGGTAAAATAACATTCTGGGGTAAAACAAAACCGGTCACATGACTGGTTCCCGGTTTTTTCGGTCCGATCCAGTTTTAAAAAMCATGCTAACAACTATAGTTTAAAGATTCTATAGATCGTACCAAAATACATTCAAACGGATTTTGATCTAAAGTACGAATAAAAAATAAAATATGAAAAGTGAATTATTATCATTCAATTTACAGGCATTATTGAGAGGCTGCTATTTGGTGTGTACGTATGCACACAGATCTACCATAAATATCCTATAAACCCTCTCACAACTAATGATTTAAAGCTTCTGTACATCATAGCAAAACATGTTCAAATGGATTTGGGCCTAAAGTATGAAGAAAAAAAAAATAAATTCTGAATAGTGAATTACTATCATTCATCAGACACTCTATGAGAATATTACATAGCATGAATAAAAAATAAATTCTGAATAGTGAATTATTATCATTCATCAGACACTCTATGAGAATATTACATAGGCTACTATTTCTATTTGGTGCATGCACATAGACCAAATATCCTATAAACCTTATTGCAACTAATGATTTAAAGCTTCTGTAGATCGTACCGAAACACCTTCAAATTGATTTCTGTCTAAAGTATGAAAATAAAAAATAAAATGTGAAAAGTGAATTACTATCATTCATCAGACTCGCTATGAGAATATTGTATGCTTTGTGAAACACAATACTAAACCCACCAGAGGAAAACGTGTTTTTTGAAATTTGAAACCAGAAGCATTTCAACAATGGTTTCTGATTTTAGTTTTGAATACAAGAACCAATCAACCATTAGCACATGTTCTGTGTTTTTTGTTTTAAGAATCAAATTAAGCTTTTTCAAATCAGGTGTGTTGATCTTCATTTTTGAAACCCAGAAGAAGAAAAACATTTCAAGCTCGGGTTTTAGGTCCAGCCCATTCAAATTTTTGGCAAAATTCCAACCCTAACTTGTCCAAATTGCACCACTATATATTATTTATATTAGTACAAGAGAAAATACAATGTAACAGTAGAAGTGATTCAATACCTTAAAATCCTTGACCAGTGCACCTACAAATGCCGAATTATACCATTAAAAAATAATTTTGGCAGAAATGGGGATTAGAATTGTCATAACTATGCCACTGTTGTGATTGAGTTGGGTGACCCAGAAGGCTAGAACCCTAATTTAGAAGATTTGAATGCCAATTGTGATGTCACAATCAACGGTGGCCTCTATCTGAGAAATCCAGACATTTGACACATGTTAGATGATTGGTGGCCCCTTCACGTGATTGGTCCATCCCAAAAAAAGAAAAAGAAGTGATAATTGAGATCTTCTGCACTTCTTYTTCAAAGGCTGCGTTTGGAATTAGTATAAAACAACACCAGTGTAATGTTTTACATTGAACCTCCATTAAGTGATCGTTGTATTTTTGAAAATCGTGATACAATCGATGTAGTATTTACATTGATAATTGATGTAAAACTTTATATATGATGAGGTTTGACGCTGATTCATAACATAAAACTCCATTCCATTTAAATGCATTCTAAATTGAACCAGAGTGGAGTTTTACATCAATCATTATTATACACTCTTTCCAAATGCGGATAAAACCGAATTAATGTAAATGTTTACATCGTCCTTAAGATACACCAATTCCAAATGCAGCCAAAATAACTGCACCCAACAATCAATATGTAAGAATTAGTGTATCAGACATGACTGTAAATCCGTATATATGAACTAAGTTTTACATAAGTAGTAATGGGTAGCATATTGGGTTTCATGTCTACATTACTGCTCAAATATTGAAGGGGGGTCTAATTCCCTATTCTAAAAACGTCACCCATTGAATAACCATGACTCAACCCACAAACCCATTGAATATTGATCTCRTGATTTGAAGTATAGATGCATCAGATACATATGAACAGACATATCGGGTGTTTCGATAATAAATATTTTTTTTTAGTTTTTTTTTTCAAAATTGTTTCAAGGGTTGGTTTTAAACAAATATATTTTTTGAAAGTGGCCAAATTTCGAAGTACCCCTTATTTAAAGTTCTAGAGGACTACCAACACAATACGATACATTTAATATGAGGTGTATCATATTGAAATTTTGAACGTTGATAGATTGATCTATTAGGTTCATGACCCGCATGTAAATAAATAGGTGAATTGGGGCCATTGGGGGGGGATTGAGTGGGGTTCAAAATCAAAGTTGCCATCCCTAGTGGGCACCTCCTTACACAAAAACCCAATAAGGTGGGGAGAATAGAGTGTGAACTGTGAATGCAATACAATTTGTTTAAAACCAACCCTTTGATCATTAAAGATAGGTTAATAATGAAATGGATTTCGAATTTGATCATTATTTATCCTAGAGAGAGAGAGAGAGAGGATGCTAGGAGGGGACCAAAATGTAAAAGAGTGTGGTCCTTTTGTTGCGTAAAGAGAAGGACCACAAGTGCATGGACCCCTTTTCTCCTCTTCTTTCGAGGGCCACAGCCCACAGACAACCTTTTATGTGATGCCAGCGTCGAGACCCTTTAACCCCATCTATATCCAACTTTCCATTCTTTGGGCAATCACTCCTCCCAACTTGCCATTATTCCCTTTAATTTTTCTTGGATCATGTGAAATCTTCACAGTTCTGCGATCTCTTCTCTGTCTCACTCGCACCGAGCATATCTCTCCCCTCTTGTCTGTGTTGATTCTTCCATCCTTAATTAGCACTGACTCCGGTACAGATTCCACAGAAACAATGAAAATTGCGGCCGCCTGCAGCCGGCGGAGCGAGCCTAGCTAGCTACTTTCTAGCATTTCGTAGATGCTAAGCTAAGCGGCCATGAGCCCATGATCACTTCTTGGCTGCTTCAGTAGCCTTAATTACGCGTGCTTGCATTCACGCATGCATGCCTCTGTGCATATATACTGTGCATGAGTGTGTATGTGTTTATGAGAGAGAGAGAGAGATAGAGATTTCTGACTAAACTGGAGAAAGACTTTGGCTCTCCTAGATGATTTATTTCCAAAAGAATGCAAAATGGAAGTAGAGTGTTTGGGTGGATAATGTCACTAACCAGTGAAACGTTATGTTCTTATAAGATTACATCTGTTGAATCAAATGTAGCAGAGTATACTATATTATAGCCACAATGATTCAAACTCATCAAGACTGCCATATAAAACTAATAATGTTGCCAAAGTCGTTACAACAGATTCATGTCGCCATCCTTTTTATCCAGTAAATATCAGAAAACAATCCATGTTGCGCATCCATCCTACTAGTACGAGGTATTCATTTAGCTGAAAACGGTCTACTCGATCATCTGCTGTTTGATTCAATTCGTACCAATCTTTGTTCCTCGCCAGTTGCGAAATGAAGAAAACCTGACAGTGCAGAAGACAACCCTCTAATCTTCTGTGTCATCATCATGTTTCCAGGTATGAAACCACATAGAGAATTCTTTCTTCATCGATCGGTAGAGTGCTTGTAGTGGTTTCTCCTCGTTGGCCCATGAGAGCTTTTAAATGAAGGAATGACTAGCTTTAGGTGCTTCAAGGACCACTGCCGCCCTTATTTGGTTGATTCCCATTATTGTTTTGAGAATGAAGAAGTTTAGGGTTTATACTCAATTGGAAGGGTCTAGTGGAGGCGTTTATTGAGTACAGAGATGGTGTAATGAGAGAATTTGTTGGCTGATTCTGCGAGCTTGAGCTCAGCATTTGAAAATGGTTCATTTGTCTCGGGTCACATTCCAATGAGGTGGTAACAAATGGAGGAAGAAACGATGGTGTTGTTCCTGATGGATATACCAGTAGCTGATGAGACCCAGTTGGTAGTGACAATGAGGATGATGACAAGGATATGACATTGTAGTTGTGGGGATCTTCTGCTTGGGATGAATATCCATGGCTGCCCGTATGATGAGACAAGGATAAACCAGCTGAAGGCTCCCAGTGGTAATAGGAATTGTATGGAGGCATTGAATTATTTAGCAACCCAGCTGGTAGAGATGAAGCATGGTTGGCTCTGGGATAAGAGGTGTGGCCTGACCCTTGTGCACACTGATCACCTTCAGTAGCTTCTTGGGTGGTTTCTTGTTCATCATTTTTCCTCATCCAATTGATCTTCTCTGTGGCTGTTTCTCTTGCAACTTCCTTACATTTAGCCTCCTTATTGGGAGGAATGATGCTTATTGAATTATTCCAGTATGGTGAGGATGACTTGGATAGCACCATTTGATCTTCCTCTTCAACACTGCTACCGATCTTGAACTCAGCCTTGCTGAGTGAAGAGCGAGGTGTGTCATCCTTGACATACTCCACATTTGCATCTACAAAAGAAGCAAGAGATGGGTGGGAAGTATTCACRTCCTGGGAGACTACCATTGAGTGAGGGTATTGACAGAAGTTTGGTGGCATTTGGAGTGGAGGAAGCTCATCGATTTCATGTTTAGCAGCATCAAGCAGCCAATCCACTACTTTGCTAGGTTGGTTGAGCCCAAGTCTGTCTTGAAGGTCATACAATTGAATAGCAGTAGGCACTGAAAGCCTAACCCTTCTGTCTCTCAATCCTCTAATGGTGCAAACCTTGCTATGCCTATCCTTTCCACCAAAAGAACGTGAGACACGTACAATCCTTGGATCCTTCAGTGCTGACCATTGTCTTGAACTAGATGAGCCCTTACTGACCTTCCCCTCGTTGGCGTTTCCTTCCTTCTTTGACTGAAGATCCTTTTCTCTTGAATTTGTGATCATCTTAGGTCTTTCATCATCGCTGAGCAAGCAATCAACTGAACAAATGGAAATTTTCCTTACTGTAATAGATCAGTCATCTCTCTTTAATTTATTCCCTATCTCATTAGAAGGAATTTGCTAGCTAGCTAGCTGAAGTTATTTCATCTAAAGACATACAAATGCAAGTATTGAAGGCTACTTTCCCCTTAAACTGAAACACCATCGATCATATCTAGTATCTTCACAGAAAAAAATAAGAGAAAAGAAGCTTTTGTTTTGCAAGATCTTTCTTTTTATGTAATCTAATCAGTGTAAATTTCATTTCCAAAGCAGGGAGGTGCAAAGAGAAGATTAAATCGAGCAGGAGTGATCCTAAGTACTGAAATTTATGCTGAACGTGGGATTGATTGAAACAGTGAAGTTATTCAGCAATTCATGACTAAAACATATGAAGCAGCAGTTTGTGTCAGCCTCCATAATCATGGAAAGTGAGAAAGACCATGGATTGGATCTTGGATGCTAACTCATAACTATAGGAAAGGGACAAAATCACAAGAAGTTTCAAGTGAATGACAATTTCATTTCCAGGATGGGTATGCCCTAATTGGAAACAAAAGAACCATATACTATACTCATGATAATCAAAAGGTTTAAACAAGTTTGTATTGGTCTCCATCCATACGAAGAATTAGGGTTGGAGAGGAACTTACAAGTGGAAGAAACTTCAGCAGTCTGTAGCCAACAATCAAGGTTTGATTCTCTATTGTTTAGACAAGATCAGAAGGATGAAGATCCTGCAGCACCATTCAATCTATCTTCCCCCACCGGATTTGCCTCTGAACTTTTCCCCCTTACCGATTTGTGCACAGGTCTGATAGTAGATATCCCACTTGGTCGTAGAGAGTAAACTTACTGAAGAAACTCACCAAATTTGAGAAAGAAGAGATGCTACACTTCCATGAAGCTTTCACCAAGGTAAAGAAACGAAAAGAAAAGAAAAAGGTAAGGTGTATTTGCAACCATGTGGCTTAAATTGACACCTGTCAAATAAATGGGCCAATCTTACTTTATCGATATTTCATTTCTACCATTTTTATGAATATTGAGCTACCATTGCCTTAATAAATAAGCTGGGGTTGTCTTCCTTCCCCCAACTAATCTCTTCCCTGCAATTTATGTTTTAATTATGTGAAATAATCATGTTATAATATAAGTACGTATGGCTAACTAACTCCCAATTTACTTAATTATTAAGTACTAATTTAAGAGAAGTTATCTCACATGCAAGGAAAGCAGGACTTAGCTTAGTAAATGAGTGGAGCTCACTAGTAAAAGCATTGCAGATGGTAAGCTTCAAGTTGGGACCAGTTTACATATTTTGAAAAGTGATGCCTGTGCCCTTCTAGAGAACTATCAATATATATATATACGAGTATTTTTACATGGGAGGGGCTGGAAAAAAGAAAAAACAAATAGAAATTAATTAATATTTATGCCATCAAACTCCAATGTATAGCAATAATATCAGCAACAATTTTCATATTCATTAGAGAATTACTTCTGACTTGATCATTTTAATTATTGGAAATTCATAATATTAACGTGACTTAAAGTTAGAAATACTAATAATCTTAATGAAATAGTTGCAGGAACTGGGTACAAGAAAAGTTCAAAGCAATTTGGACAAAAGAAAAGGCAATATAATATAGGACATAAGAGAAAATTCAGAATAGATTTCAAGCAGTTCATGCTGTAGTTCTACTCGTATACAAAGCCAATCACTATACACCATGTTAGGTCCATACACATGGCTCCCACACGTTAGGCTGACGTGGTGCATCACGATTGGCTGCCCTAGGGGAATTCAAAATTGGGTTTCAAGTGGGAGATGATATACAGACAAAGAAAGAAAGACATACACCAACTTAAATAATTTCATTCATATAGCTCCAAAACTGTGGTCTATACTTCTGGACCTTTATCAGCTTGATGTGGATGATAACTACAAGAATCACTATGTGGCTCCCTTGTAGGTGAGGGACCAACCTAACTTCTTTGCAGCATCCATTGAGTAGGGTGAGGAGTGAGGACCACACAACTTTTCACAGAACAGTGAGATTTCATGRAGCAAGTTGAATCTAACAGATGAAGCCGGAAGATTTGAATTAATTCATGCTCCATCTTGTTCATGAGAACTGCATGTGGCAATCATCTCTCTAATGACTGGTTCCATCATCTATTATATTCTAGATTCAATGGGTGGCATAGTGCCATTCCATTTCTTACAAGGGTTTGCATCTGGATCTGTTTTCCATTGATATCAGAAAGTACAATCGAAAATATATGAAAGATCATAGAGAAGCATGCAGGTTTCTTACTCTAGAGCTTAAGTAGATCCTGAATCATGCAGGAATATGAGGTTCATATATATAATATATATGCCCACTTCAAATTTCTGCAGAAATTCTGTGCAGATCTGATCTTCAAACTCCAACAAGTAGGTTTTTAATTGCTTCAATGACACATGAGTTTGTTTAGTGTGTAGCCTTCACAAGCTTCATTCATATGTATTTCTGCTGTGGCAGCTCTTCATGCAAACTGTAAAACAAGTCCCAAACCCTAAAACTGATCACATTTTACCTTGTAAAACCAAAAGTAACTATTCCTCCTCAACTAAGAACATTGGAATCAGTACTGTAAATCTTGAACCAGCGTTTTGTGTGCTTTCTCTAAAACAAAAACAACCCTGTAACAAGCTGAAATATATATAGAATTTACCTCATGATCAATATTTTAAAGGTAATATCCCTACCTGAAGAGTAAAGACCTCCATTTCTTCCTCTTCCTCTGTGGAGAAGGAACCATACAAGAAATGATAATCCCTTCTTGAGTTGAGGGTTCTATTGCACCAATACAAAGCCACCGAAATAGACTGGGAGACTGATAAAAATAACAGAGAAGGAAAAGAGATTTGACTTGTAGGAAGCATGCCCATGATAAGATCTCTTCCTTTTCTGGGAACCAACAGTGAAAAGAAAAAGTTGGGAGCATTGGCAACCAGTTATCAGCTGGAAGACCTTGTTTGGGGCTGCAGTTACACAGCTGGCCAAGAACAGATCTATATGTACTCCATCTTTCATGCATGGAAGCAGGAAACCCTATAACACAAAACCTGCTCTGTCGTTAAGAACTAAAGCAAATATATCAAAAACGGAAAGGTCTCCTGGGGTGCAGTGCAGACTTGCGACAGTAGCTAGACTGCAGCACTGTACTGGGTGGGTGCACAGTGGGGCTAAAAAGAGGAAAGGGTTTAAGGGGTTTGGGATGAACAATATAAACTTCATTTCCAATGCTCCTTTAATTTCTTTCAAACCTTCCATTTTTGTTTGACACAGCGAAATGGAAGATTGGTGTTTCATCAGATTATCAAATTATCAGAATTCAGAAGTGATGTTTGTTCGTCTTGCACGAATACTTTACGATTATTCTTCTTCTTCGTTCCTCCCCAGAAGAAATTAAAGCCTAAAAAGAAAGAAAAGATGAACATACGCCATTCTTTCAATTATCGTCACGATATTTCCTGTTACAGATGGTTAGGCTTAGGGAAACGAAAAACCCAGAAAAGTTTTTCTCTGCAAACAAGCAGAAAATTAATATCGAAAGAAGAAACGTGGCGGGGATCCCAAAAAATGGTCACACTCTTTGATTTCTCCATTAAATTTTCTCTATGGTCCCCACATTCCGGACAGCAGTTTTTGGCAGATACCGATTAATCGTCTAATCAAGGTGATCAGTTGCAGTATGTCAAGAAAATTAATAACGACTAATCGATTTGAGTCTACACAAAGAATCCTACTCAGCTTTCCTTGTCGGTGAGTGGTTGCTTCTTTCTCTTTCAGGACCGCCGGAAGAACCACGGCCAGTTCGACAACCCACCTTTCTAATTACTCCGTATTCTTTATTTTTCATGAATAAATAAATATATTTGCTAAGCATGATTCAAACATTGGAACCTGTATTGTCAATTTTTAGTACAAATGTACAATCCTGCTTTGGTCATTACCAGCAATTGGGCTGCCCTAGCTATATATCCCTAATGATCAAATTAATTAACTCAATATTAATTAGGAAGAGTTAATTAGTTTGATCATTCAAAGCAACCTGTGTTTGGTTTGACATTAATTCAATTTAAAACTAGTGACTTACTAACTCATGGGAATTTAAAACTAGTGACTTACTACACACAAACGCCAGTTTTCCTCTTTGAGGCCGGAATTAATCTAACTGAACGTCTTTTATAAATTCATGCTTGATCAAAACAGAAAGCTATTTATTTTAATGCACCCAATTCACTGGGAGTTTGATATCGGGACAGCTTGATTGATTCTGATCATTAAAATGCATCACTTTCTTTAAAATAATGGTTGTTCAGTGCACTGTGAAATCAATGATAATAGCTGTTTTGTACGCAATGGAATTAATGGTATTGCTCAATGCCAATAATAAAATACATGGGACTCACAACCATTTTACTTAATGATTGTGAGCCCGTCTCATGTGTTTTATCACTGACATAAGGTATTATCATTGGTTCCACAACCCGTTGAGAAATTTGTTGAGATGCATATGTGAGTAGGTGTATGGAATGAGGAATGAAAGAAAGTCCCACATTGAAAAGACATAAGAAGCGTAAGGAACTTATATACAAGAGTGGCCCATAACCCAATAACTTAGGTTTTTGGGTTGTTATAAGTGATGTTCATCTTTCGTGTACAAGGCCCCAAAACAGCCATTGCATTCAGCTAATCTGACTTTGTATTTATGTATGTGAGAGTTTTATTACAAAACAAACAAGCAAAGAGGGAAAGAAAAGAATCTTATCACTTTATCTCCGTTGCATCAGTGTCACTGATGTGTTTATATGCAGCAAAATGGGGATATACTTCTCTCTAAGTATAATCACTATATTTGGACATTCAGAAACCTGTTTTTCCTCCTGGTTTTTCTCTTGCATTTACAAACTGTCAAAGAATCAACAACCAGAAGATTTTTTTCAACAATATTACTGTGTTTCTCACACAGTATAAAGTGTTTAATTACTAATCTCAATAAGGACAATATGAATATGACCCCCATTATTCTCAATTCGGTCTCTTGGAGGACAGACTGAATTCTTTTTACTATTTTAGTCCAGAAAATTATTAGCTGAGAGTTTCATCTTTGTTTCTTGTTGTACTTTGAAGCTCCAGCACAACACTGGCTGTTTTAACTTGGCTGCAAATGATATAGGAATAATGGGAGCCTCTCACCAACTTCATTGGAGGCATCCCCCTCAACCCCCAACAACCTGCTCAATATGGGACGCATCATGCTGCCTGTGGACATTAGACCAGTTGCACTGTTAGATCAGCAAAGGGAATCCCCATCCATAGTCTTGATCAAAAGAATCAGATCAAGGTTTTTAAAACCGGACTGGACAGGGAACCGTTTTGGGGTCCAGTTCCCGGGTCGAACGGCCCGCCCGTCCAGTCCAAACAGACATCTCACTCTGACAGAAAAAAAAAAAAAAACATTGAATCAGATTAAACCAATCAACAAGGCTCTTCTCTACCCATGAAATATTCTTATATATGCTTAAAAGAGAGTAGTGAATTAGCGACGATGGATGGTGGTCATATCTTCTTCTTCTTTTTCAAGTTTTGGTGCAGCACGTCTTTGACTGATGGGCAATTCAAGCAGCAAAAGTTCAAGAAAAATGTGCAGAAAAATCATCAGATACCAGTCTGGCCTTTCATTGTTAAGACACGTGGCGGAGTTCTAACCTAAATTTCATTTGGTTGTTGGTGTTTGAGTTCTACTTTTCTACCTTACTTTTTCTTTCTTTCCTCTCTCTCTGTCTCTCCAAAGTAAGAGCTGCAACGAACGAATAGAGGATAGATACAAGGGAGGAGGGGGACGGGAAGCTTGATTTGTAAAGAAAAAGTGTAGTCTAACACAGAGTGTAGTAGTAACAGAGCAAGAGCTTAATTTATTTATTTTCAGTTGTTTATTGAATTCATTGTTGCAGAGGGGACGTGCAGTTCTTCTTCTTCTTCTCTCTGCCACCTTTTATTTTGTATTCATCACACTTTCACTGTTCCACAGCACGCATTTACCTTTTGTGCTGCATTGATCTCTACTGCCATTCTCTTTTCTCCTTTGCTTTCCTTCTGTACTGTCACTGTCGTGGGCTACCAAGAAGAAATAAATTCTTGTCATCTTCCTTCTTCCATATGGCCATGTACTCAAATGATCATATGTAGTTATGTACCCCCTCCCCACCAACAATAATAGAGCACCAAGGATATATAGAGTGGTCTCTCTCTCTCTCTCTCTCTCTAAGCCATAACTTGGTCATAAAGATGATGGAGATACTGATAATGGTGTTGGTTATGGTGATGGTGATAGTAATTAAATTGGCAGTGGCACTTTAGGGTAATATTGCAATCAATTCTATTAAACAAATCAAACAATGTTTGAAGTTTGAACACACACCATGAATGACAATATTCAGAGTTATCAGAAACTTGTTGATGATATTGATATGAGAGATAAGAGTTATATGCCGACAGTTTTGACATGTCATAACTCTTCTCTTATCATCAACAAGCTTCTGATAACTTTGAATATTGTCATGTTCATGGGGTTTTATTTTATTAAGAATATATGGAGATTAAGTCCTCTTGTTGGATCTTGGGGGGCATGGGCAATGAAGAGTCAAAAATGGAGGCAAGCCTCTCCTCCACCAGGAGTTGGGCTCTTCCTTCTACAACAAACTTGTAGTAGTGAATAGATTATTAAATTAAAAAAGGAAGAAAGAAAGAAAGCTATTGGATCAGCCTCAAGAACTAAAGATTTCCTCTCTAAATCAAATGACTCCATTAGAAGACTTCATAAAAGAACGCAGATTATGAGACTCCCACCCAGAACTAGCTCCATGCATTACGAACCTTAGTCACAACTCTGGGTAAATTTTAGAAACCAAAGATAATTTCTGGTTTAAGATGCAAATTAATCTACATAAGTAGGACTCGTCGTATACATGAAAGTCAATCTACAACTGCAATTCACCTTGTAACTTTGCTGGTTGCAAGTGAAATGAAAGAAAATGAATGATTTCCTTAAAAAAAATTGACATTTTTCAATGTTTGGTTGCACATAAAATGGTTGTGGAAAACGAAAATTTTCGAAAAACTGAGGAACTGATTATAGGAAAATGATATGGCTCCAATAAAAAAATATATATTATAGGAAAATGAATTCCTTCTAATTTTTGTAAGTATTTTTCTCAACAAAGGTTAGTTCTCTGGAGATGTGTTTGTATAGTTTAATTTAGTGAGTTTGTGGCCCCGTTTTTGCTTGGGCCGAGTCTCTCTTTTGTATCTTCTTGTATCTCTCCTTTTTCTTTTTGTTATGGCCCAAAACTATGATCAAAGATAATTATATACATATATAAAATTCCTTTTAGAGCTCGACGTGTCCTCATTAACCACCATCCTTTAGGCTTCCAAAAGCTGGTTTGGATACTCAATATAAATCAGTTGATCATGACTTCAGTATCACCACAGAAGGACAATATTCAATTTATCGACACTTGGTTTATTTTTATACCAGAAAAGAAATTTCATAGATGAATTATAAATTCTGCAAAATAATTCAGCCAAGTACATAAGTAATCAGAAGTTAAGATCAATTATCAATTAAAGGTTTGTGACAAGGACTTGATCACTTGACAAAGCAAACTTGCCTCCCAAAAATATGACATTAATATATACTTGCATAATGATGCAAGAGAGTAAACCTTTCTATGATGAAGGGGCTAGCTTATCTAGAAATATGAGCCCAAATCAGCTAATTAGGGGTGCAAGTCGGGTTGGCCGGAGTTAACAATTTATGCTGTTTCGAGTTTGGACTTTGGGTCGGGCCCATTAAAATTTTGATCAAATCTCAACCCTAACCCATAAAAATTGCATCCCTATCAGCTACCCACAACGAAATGGTCAATTGGCTTCCCTCTAAGTACAATCAAAGTCGTGTTGCTGCAACTATTGGTCTCCAGACTCTCCATCCCTTAATTCTTTTGTGATGTGTAACTAGAAAATATCATCCCGTACTAAGTACGGAGCTAGTGTTTTGATAAATTTTGTTTGACACCTATTATTTATGTTGTAAATTTAGGTTATTTTTTATATAAAGATTTGTTATTCAATTTGTGAATTTAAATCAGGTTTTATTTCTTAATAATAACCCGCTTTATAGATCATATACCATTTGAAATGAGTTTTATTATTTTTTTTAGTGGAAACAACTACTATTTACCTTTTTGAAAGTGGAGGTAAGAGGACCGGATCTAGTAGGCACAACAAAGTAAGCACGTTAAATGAGCATTTGATATATATTTTGACAACTGTCAAAAGTGGGTATTAATCTTTTTCAAGGGTAGGCTGGGGGTATTTTAAAGGACAGGTGTCAAAAAATTTTCTAAGTGCTCATTGACTGTGCTTACAACGTTGTGCCTACCTGATCCGAACTGGGAGGTAACCACCATTTGAAGCTCATACTTTTTTTTTTGAGAGTGGGTAAACACATGAAAAAAAGAACACTTCCATTTGAGAGTGGAAGTAACCACTCTTTTAATACTGATTCTTGAAAAAATAAAATGCTACTTGTTTGAAAGAAAAAGCTCTTTGATTTGAAGAATATCTCCCTATGAATACTCACAAGACAATCAAAGGCACTATCCCACACATATCCACAACCACAAGACAATACAGCTGCACATCAAGAATATCTCCTAATAGATAACAAGAATTAATATTAGGGATTAGAGTGGTTGTAAATATGGTTGTTATAATTATAGTTAGTAATTGCTATTTATTATTAGGAAAAATGATTTATATACTGCATCATTCAAGTCTGATAAATAGGTAGCCCTCATAATGAGAAAGCAATGGATGCCCATACAATAATGGCATTATGTACAAAATGGTAAGGTACTTGGTACTTAGTCAATATGGTAAAGGCATGCTTACATAGGAATGTCAAYGGGCCCCTATTGAGACAGTTTTGATATGAATCTAACTTGATTAGGGTTAGGTTCAGATTGTAAAATGTAAACCCATCATTAGTTCGGGTTATTTATCTATTTATATTAGAAATGAGATGTGCTCAATTCACTTCCAAGGAGAAAAATCTTAAGTTGTTCGTGAAAATATTTTAGAGTCTCACAACCATTTAATTCACAAAACTTGAGTTTTATTTAATTTTCTCAGATAAACTCCCAAAGGTGTTCTTTTCACTTAAAAATAATAACTTTTCCAATTCTACATTTCTTTAACCTTAAAATGTTTATTCATGTATTTAGTTAATTAGAAAGTTTCTTCATTTTTTTAAACCCCCAAACTTTAAAGGGTGGCCAGCTAAGGAAAGTTTCTTCATTATACAACCTTGCTATATGTAATCTTACATATTGGAAAGTATCAAACACTTTTTTTTCATTTTTAGCATTTCAACTTTTTTTTATGATAGTACACATCTTCTTCCTCCAAATAACTTAACTTTTGTATCATTCTAGTATCAATTGTCAGAGGCCATAGCTTGGTGCAAGGAAGCATGAGTTTCTTCAAATCTGAAAGCAGCCACTTTGTATCATTCTAGTATCAAACACCATTTGGTTTTGGTTAATTTGCTATTTTCCATTGTATTGTGTGTTTAAACTTACTGTCACTTGCGTGCCACCAGAAGTCCCTCATCAATTTGTTCGATTTGGAGAATGTTTCTTTGGGGAGAATTGTTGTCTTCATGGAGTAAACTGACATGGCTTGTAGAACTGATCGGATCAGAGTGATGCACCCTGCTTGGGATAAGAATCTGGAGTTCCAAGATGTGATTTTTGATTGGATAAGAGTGATGTGCCCTGCTTGGGATAGTTTGTCTGAGCTGCCAACAAAGGTTTCCTTGATTGAATACAATCAGAATCAATACATCACCCTAGGACTTGTTATGCTTAACTATTGGCATATTCGTCTACACATCCATGTATGACGTTGTTGAATGCCATACATGCATGTAATGCAGCTCATGATCTATGTATCCCTTTCTCTGTTGATGAGGATTCTGATCAGTGACCACTTTGGAAGACTATTAATAGAGTCCGGATCTGCTACCCATACCCTACCGACAAGACACTACGTGGGTAGTGTGGATAGCATATTTGTTGTTAGCGGATTCGAGCTCCTTTTAATGATGGCATAGACTAATTCATGAGGGAAAACGCTCAAAGCTTAAGCTACCCTCCTGTTTATGCCCTTTGGACCAAGATTCATCTCATCAAATGTAGCCCATCACTTACATTTCATTCAGTAATATAGGCCTAGGCCCTTGTCATAATTTTGTCATCTGTCTTGGTACATGGCCCGAATGTGCATTAATAGAGGGTCTGCAATTCAGCATTATTCTCCATGGACCATGGACCTAATACCACTTAATCGTGTCTATTTTTGCTTAGGCCATTCAAGGATCGAGCCATGGCTTGCACCAAGCAACATCATAATAAGACGTGAATTATTTCAACGTTATAAATCCATGGCTGACGTTTTATGGCCTGACGACCTTCTTTGAACAACAAATAAAGATAACATAGAAACAAGGTTCAAAGTATGGATACCTTTTCTTTTAACCTTTTAAGTTTGATGTTTCACTCAGAGATATGTTTGGATGGGCATTAACATTTGAAAGTTGAAACGATTAAAATGCCTCATGATGCCTAACTCTAACTCTAGGTAAGAAAGAAGGAGGTTTGAATATATATATCATGTGGTGATTGACATCATGCTTCCTGAATCATCATATAATATCTGTGTTCCATTTTTTTTTAATTTTAGAAACCATTATTTTGATGTTTTCAGAAACATAAATTGTTTACAAAAACAACTTATTTTTGCTTCTCAAAACAAAAACATTGTTCAAGAACTTATTTCAATTTTTTACTAATAAATCGATTTTAAAAACAAATGAAGAACGAGTGCTTATCTCTTAAAATTGAAGAACTAGCAGCCTAAAAGAGATTTATTGGGATAGACCAACATCATTTCTTATTAGTTCAGATTTCAACCAAATGGAACCACCATGCAAAATATTAATACCACAGCCAAATTGGCTATATAGAGTCACTGAAAAGGTAAAAAAGCAAAGAAGTCTCTCATCCTAAAAATACTTGGAGACCTTAAAGAAGTTTTAGGCAACCAGGTTCGACAAAAACCTACCATTCCAGACAAAACCTTATGGCCCCATGAATTGGAATTGGGATCTGCTCCTCACAAGCTCACACCGACCTCACAACCACATCCCATCGTGTATAAAGAACATCTCTCATGAATATACAGTACGGAAGATGTTCCCTATGTGTGACTGGTACATGCTGTGAGGTCCGTGTGAGCACTCCGTGAGGAGCAGATCCGAACCCCATGGATTGAGTTTTGACTTTTGAGTTCCATCTCTCTTTTCCTCCCGCTGAGTGCATTTCTTGTGTTTGCATTTAGCAACTTAGCGTGCAAAGACAAAACCCAAGCCAAGATTTACTGTATCAACAGGCATAGTCTCAGCTGCTGGGATGTTTTCTTTAAAGATTAAGGTTTAAAACTCTTCAAACTTTCAAGGATTAAACAATCACTTACATCTTATTTCCAATAAACCCAGGTTTTTTAGCATTTCGACTTCTCTGGAAATATCCCTGGACAGTTTAACAATGGGAAAAAAACAAACGCTGTCTCATTCCATGGCAGCTTGGCACAAAGTAGATGCATTACTATGGCCTGAATAAATCAAAATATTTCTACAGAATGGTTGGATCAACATAAAAATCCAGAAAGCATGACTGGGAGTGCATAATCCTACCGCAATGCCTAAAGCCTGTCAGAAGAAAAATAACGAGTTAATTTCTTTTCAAATACTGTACAGGGATGTTGAAGTATGAAAGCTTATAACAAAAATGGGTACAGTATGCCTTCTTTTTATTTATTTATTTATTTATTTATTGCACGACTTGGCCAGCACATAGACCAATAACTTGAAATTTGGGTTTTCCACTGGCCATTTAAAGGTAGAGGAAGTAGTCATGATATTGAAGAACATACATTTTTATCACTAAATTGATGAAAGAGATTTTATGAAGCAATATAAATTATAAAACCCTCGATAAAGAAGTGGCAGGGAATGAAATACAAAACACCTGCTGACAAACCAAAAGAAAAAGATACAAGGCCACTACTATTCAGTTGAGTCCCCAGACAGGCCAGAGGAGGTACTCCCCAATCGTATCTTATTATTTTGCCCATTCATCAGCAAGAGCGTTAACCAATTCAGGATCCATTTGAATGAAGTATTCAATGGGAACACTGATATTCTTTCCTTCACAAAACAAATGTGAGATCTCAAGTGCTCATACCGGTAGATGGCATCCAGTGAATCATAATTCTAGTCTCCTTCCACCATAACATTTGCCCAACTCAATATACACATTTTAGGCCTTGATGTAAAGCCATCAATCCCGCCCTTAATTAGAGTCCTGATTTCTAAAATCTCCACCAATGCTCACCTCTCCTGGGTTCCCAAGGGAACAGAATTGAACTTGATTCTTCCATAGTCAGAAGCAACCCAAGTATGTGTGATCAGCCTCCTCTGAAGAGAAGAGCTTATGCTACCCCCCTTAAAACAAAATCAATAGGGACACCTTTAAAATCTTCCCTAGTGGATGACCCAAGACTAGTTCAATGATGGGCGCGACAACCTGCCTCCTGTTCTCAAAAATTCTAACATTTCTCTCACCCATAAGCTCCAGAGAACAGCTGCTCTTATTTAAAACTAGGAGCATGCATACAATAAATAAATAAATTATTCCCCGTATATAAATCATGTACAAGCTCAAGAAGAAATAATGCATAGGCAACAGCCAGTGAGAATCAAAGCAACCATTGATAATTAGATAAAATAAACAATAAAAGATTAAAAAAATTAATCAATTAAACCCACAAAACAATAAGGCACTTCCATTAGGAAAATGTCTTTTGCACATGTCTATTTTGGAGGTTCAAATGTTAGAAGTATCAACAACATGAGAAGGGTGAAGCTGTTGGAACATTTTAAATCTTCAAGAGTTCAAGATTTATTGCTAAAACATTTTAGCACAATTCCAATATAGACATTGGATAATGGCCTTAATGCCTTACTGATTACTTAAACTCTCTTAAGTTCTGTCCAGCCTTTTTTTATCAGCATGCCCAGCCTATTTTGTTGGGCAAACCTGAGATGAATCTCAAACTACTAAACTAAAGGCTTTGTGGCCTGATTCCAGCTTTACCTAGGCCCATTTCAGCCGCCTAATTAGCTACTGATCAAGTGGATCCAGCATCAAGTGTCAATGAAAACACAGCCGCCTAATTAGCTACTGACTGGGGTGATTCATTGATAGCTGAAATGGAGGCAGTATTGCAAGGGCTGAAAATTGCCAAGGCATGGAAGGAATATGAAAGTACAGATATGTGATACGGGAGATAGACAACTTGCCGATGAAAAGGTGGTTAGTTTTCATTGGGTTCATAGATTGGGTAATGGGCTGGACGATGGTCTATCCAAAAAAAGGGGTTAATAGGGCAGAATTGTATTGGGCTTAGTTGTAACCTGTGGTTATTTATAAAAAAGGCAGGGGGAAACAATGCACATGAGGGTTAGGTGGAGTAAGTGCATCTTACAGGGCTGTTGAATACATTGTACATATTGCATTCTTTCATCACATATCAATAATTGTTTACAGTTATCCATCAAAAAGAAAAGAAAACGCCACCACCAAGTTGACCTTTCTTCTCCTCTTTTTGTGAATAATGAAATTTGTGTGTGTGTGTGTGTGTGAGTGAGAGAGAGAGAGAGAGAGAGACAGACAGAGACAGAGACAGAAACAGAGACAGAGACAGAGACAGAGAACAACAATAAAAACAATGTCTATACAGATTACAGAAAGACAAGACCCACCATACAATTCCAGTTTATCATTTTTGTTTATGACCAAACTGGGGGAGTCATTGGAGATGGTAGCGGATTTTGGTAAACTCTGGATCTAATTAAAGGGTTTTTTGCAAGTTCTCTAATTAAAGGTTTAGAGCTTGCTTCAACAACTGGATAGAGAGAATTAATTGTTGAAGGGGATTGAAAAGTAACCATTATCCGGCTAAGGTCTGAGGAAAGAAGTACCATGCATCTTCATGTTCTTGGTTAGAGAAGCTAGAGCTAAGACTGAAGACCTGAATGCCTCGTTCAGGTGAGTCCCAAGGACAGCAAACAGTCTAACTGATCATCCGGACAGAGCAGGGGTCGACAGACACAGTGACTCACTATTGTATGGAGAATGCCAGGACCTGGGTCTGAATTGTAATGTTATGTCCCAGAAACTCACACACAGTTCTCAGACCCACAGCAGCGTTCACACACTTGAACATCAACAAAAGAGACTAGTATTCATTCAGCAGAAAACATTAACAGTTGGTCAGTTCTTCGAGAGACCGCCGGCTCTCCCAAACACTCACAATATTCTTTACTCAATACCACCCCCATCCCCCAAAGCCCCTTCTTATACTCTACTGA